ATATCTCTGTGAACTAATCCCTGGCCGTGAAGGTAACGAATACCGTGTATCACATCGATGGCCACTTGTAGTCTCGCCATCCAATCCAAGCCATTCTTGATGGCAGCGTACAAATCGCAGACCATTCGGTCCATTATGAGGAGCACCGCTGGCGTAATACCGCCGCCGTATGTGTAGTCAATGACCGCACCTCTAATTTGAACGACTCTTTTGTGCTCTGGTATGGATCGGGTGTAATAGAACTCCATCGCCAAGTCGTTCCAGTGCTTGTCGTCCGGCGGCACCACTGACTTGATTGCGCACGGATTATAACCGGCCCAACGACTGCACGAATAGACCACTCCGTACTGACCCCTCCCTATCTCGCGTCCCAATTGAGGCATTCCGTGAATAATGACATCGATTAGTGAAGTCGACTCCAACGCAAACTTCGCGAAACCCGGCGCGTGATTCTTGCGGACCTGTTCTCGACGGTCGTCCGTCCGTCGCATTCGCCCCGAGTGTACGGCCTCTGCAAAGGGNCGCGTCCCAATTGAGGCATTCCGTGAATAATGACATCGATTAGTGAAGTCGACTCCAACGCAAACTTCGCGAAACCCGGCGCGTGATTCTTGCGGACCTGTTCTCGACGGTCGTCCGTCCGTCGCATTCGCCCCGAGTGTACGGCCTCTGCAAAGGGTAGAGAAGCTCGTTATGAGACATATGAACGCAACCATAAGAAGACAGATTCTATACCTAATTCTTTAAGAGAGGCGATGAAGTTCTCGTGCGAATGTTTGAGTCGATCCCTAAACTGAAGGCAAATACTCTTCGCGAGTCTGGATTCGCTGAGACTGTCGAGTACATCGTTGGTCACGTACTTCTTCCAATCGGAGTCCACAATGGGATAGGGTTTCCACGAAATGGTTTGAACCATTTGTCGCATTTTTTCCCAAATAACTCGTATGAGATTATGCGACGACTTTATGTTAACCTCTATAGTGTAGGCGGCGTTCAGTATCTGTTTGAGTGCGTCCGACGCCTCGGGAGGATCGCCCGCCTCCTGACACGAGGCCT